GAAAGTCGGCATGAGGTTCTGTTGAAAGGGTCTTGCATATTCTATCCAAGGACTACAAAAATATATATTTGATTTGAAAGTGACTTGCAAAAGATCTTGAAGGATCCTGCTAGAAGGCCGCAGGGGAGCCAGCTCCCTGAACCCAGGGCGGCCTCTGCTTTAAAAGAGACTTTCGTTATCTGAGGAGAAATTGGCTTCCTCGTCCCTGGTTTTCTGGGGTTACTAAAGAAACAAGACAGCAGCTCTGCTGCAGTGTTGGAGAATCATCACCAACCAGAGGAGACATTACTGGCCCAGATGAATCAGCATTCTGCAACTGGCTTTTCCTACATCATGTTGAATTATAGCTTACAATCACAGTTTGTTGAACAAACCACAGTGGCTGGGTTCCTGCATCGTACAGTCAAAACCAAGCAAACCATGTTAATGCACAGTACAACGGGTAAACCAGATTATGCAAAGCAGATGCAGCTGTTGTCCTTTCTTTGATGTATGCTACTTGGGAAATGTGGGATTAGCTCTAAGCAGCCATCTGTAATTACCATGATAAGGAGTTGCTAGCAGAATCCTCCCTTATGTTTGTCCTGATGATATAGTTTCAGTTCAGACTTTCCTGTCTGTAACCAAGGAAGATCCATGCACCCTAGATTTAAATCAGTTTTAGCAGTGTTTCACTCATTCTTTATAGGGAACCATTTGAAAGTGGGGAAAACAAACTACTACATGGTTTGTCAAGAGAGTCTTCCACAAAAGAGGGCAAATCTAACAGCTAAAGTGCTGTAAAGATGAGCAGATATCTGCATGAAAGGGATGCCAAATAGTCCTCACTCATTCACAGAATTTTAGGGAGGTGAGAGCAGGACCCAGATGGAGATCTTCCTCCATCTGTAAGTCTTCCATGCCTTCACACACCTTTGGCCTTACCCTGGAAAAAAAGGACATTATGGTTGTTTGGCAACTTCAGGAGCTCTACATCTCAATGGGAGATAAAGCATCATTTATCTAGATATAGATTGTGGTTGGATATAGGTAGTAGATATTGAGATGACAACGCTTTTGCACAGCTTTAGAAAGAGCAGATGAAGCAGAACCCATGTGGGTTTATATCATATTATATCAGCTTTATATTTATAGTCAGATTAGTTTGGGCCAAGGAGGTCAGAAATTTTTGAGGGACAGGGAGGCTGGCCTGCCAGAATATATTTGAAGATGTGGAAAGTAAGTCACTAGCCTCTAATGTATGAAGAGTAAACTGAAAGAGGATGCCAAATAGCTAATCTTCTTATGCCATAGAATTATTACAAAAGGAATTATTGGGTAGCACATCTAACCAGGCATATCTCATAACCAAGTATGGTTCCCTCACCCTTGCAATTTTTGGTCTCTGTAGACCTTGTAAGACCAAGGCATTGAAGGCAGTAAAGCCAAGATGAGCATCTCCTTAATAGGGGTAGGTAAAGAAATATAACATATTGAAATAGTGAGGTTGTGCTTATATACTGTAGAACTTTACCAAGGCATGATTCAGAGCAATAAGCACTGCTTACCAATGTTCTCCTTAAATCTGATGCTCAGACTTGATCCAACAGGTTAGAACCCATGAAAAATGGTCAGAATAGATAAAGCAAGGAGGGAAATACTGTTTTAGATTTACTTGGTATTTATGTAATAGTGTCACACACAGAAGTTGTACTAAGGCAGTTCTTTAATTACATGCTGAAGAGTTGAGCATGGCAAGATGTGATCTCCCTGATTCATTGTTGCTATGGCAACTTTTCCAACAACTCTCCAGATGTATTTATATTACAGATCCCATCATCCACAGCCAGTATAGCTAATAGCTGCCTACCTCACTTTGATCCCCTGTATTTGTTGAAAATGAAGACAACCCTGAATTGAAACTGATCCACCCATGAAGATGGAGAAAAAAGAGTGTCCACTTCCCGTTGTATGTCCTCAACGAATCTAAGACAGTGCTTCTATTTTAAATACTGTATTTGTGAAAAACAAGTCTTTTTTCCTGGTTAAAAACAGTATATGTAATATAGCAAACCTACCAAGATCTCATCAGCCTAGAGTCCCAAGTCTTATTTTCTGATCTCTGTGCTTCATTCAAGACACAAAAATCAATTCAGCACACCCTGATAAATAATTGTTAGATTGGGACCATCCTGACATACGTTTTGTGCTCAGTACTCAGTGAACCTCTGTACTGAATCAGAGAAACTGGGCTATCCCTGAGCTTCCTTGTGCAAATCTCTCCTCTTCCCCATTGCTAAATTACCTCAGGGTATTAAGAGACCATAGTACTCCCTAAGTACTAAGAATCTTGCAACTCCCTTAAAATAAACTCTAAATAAGCCTCAGATCCCATTCCTGCCTTCTGCCCACCCTGGATGGCTTCTCATCTTTGGGACTGTGGCTTTTTTGAAACTACCTTTTCCCCCAAAATCCAGTTGGGCTATTGTCTACGAATTTTCAACATGTTCCATAAACACAGTGTTATGGTTCTCCACTTGCAGCACAGAAGTAAAATACATTTTTTCAGCAGCAATCCTGTTGGAACCCAACCCAACCAGCTTACAAGGTGTGATTATATAGGAAGAGAACCCTGAAATGAGTCACCCCGCAGCGGGTAAAAAAATTCACAAGCCTTTTCTCCGCCAGCTTAAAAGCTGTGTTGCATTGGACCTCTGAGTTTAGATCCATTACAATTCTTTCCTTTTCTTGGGCTCTGATAAAGGGCACAGCAAAGGAGTGGGTAACATTTTTAACAAAGCTTGTAAGAAATTAGAATTTGCATAGCATAAAACACTGTCACATTACTGAGGACTTTAAGGTATTTTCTCATTGAAGACCAAGCTCTTGATTTCACATTGATATATCCCATATACAAAAGGAGCCACCATGCATATTCCATATTAAGAAATGTAAATTTGTAGTTTAAAATGTAATTTTTTGCATCCTGCATAAATATGCAAATGGTGTATATTTGAATAAATGTGTGCTGGTTTGGCCCCTCATGAAATACTATGTAGGAGGAGAGCCGTGTTAGTCTACACAGCAAAAAATCAGGAGTCTGGTAGCACCTTTTCCAACTAGCACATTTTATTAGAAGGCATAAGCTTTTGTAAGCTGCAAAAACTGATCCAAAGAGTGTTGCATTCATAGAAAAATGAAGAGTTAGGATTGCTATGGAAACCTATTGCATATTGCAAAGGAGGTTTAGAAAGCTTATGCCTTCTAATAAAATGTGTTTGTCAGAAAAGGCACTACCAGATTCCTCCTAATTTTCCTGATATACTAGAAATTGTAGCAGCTATCCCTATATGCAAGTCTGTTCAGTGTAACAAATAGGAATCAATGCTTTTCTATGATTAAAGTTGAGGTTCTCATGATGTTGAGGCTTTCACCTCTTGCTCCCTTTCTCTCTCTTCCTTTCCTTTCCTTTCCTTTCCTTTCCTTTCCTTTCCTTTCCTTTCCTTTCCTTTCCTTTCCTTTCCTTTCCTTTCCTT